AACAGAAACAGAAACCTGACAAAAACATAGAGAGGAAAACAAGAAGAAAAGGAACAAGAAGAGAAGGACACAACCTAGAACAAATAATGCATGTCTATTCTATTAACATTTCTGTATCTGCATAATGGGTCTGTTTTATGTGTTGTCTTCTCAATTCATAAGGGCCCCTGCCTGTCTTTGCCTAGGGCCCTATATTTCCTAAATCCACCCCTGATGAGTCCAGTATTCGTAGTGAGAAATCCCAAATGTCTACAGAGAGTGTTTGTGAGATCATGCTTCTATAGTATATTAATATTTAATAATCAGCTTTTTACCAGCATGGTGAACAACTCTGGATTAAAATATGAAAAAAAACAGATTTAACACCTGTCTTTAAGTAGAAAACTTTACAACTCACTGACAGTTTTTATTTATGGAGTTTTAAGGGGGGGGTTTGAATCTTTTACTACTAAATAGAAGTGATGACTGATTTCCTCTATGGCTGCTCTTCCCCTCAGGAACAATACAAGTTCTGCTATGAAGTGGCTCTGGAGGCCTTGAACTCCTTCTGATGTGACGGCGGCTCCAACTGTCCCTCCTGCTGACGCCGCCCCTCTTCCTCAAAGCAACGCTGACACACACAGGAGAGCGAGACGGCTTTGTGTGGAGCTGAGCTCCGTCCCAGAGTGGGTGGGTGCGTGTGTGGGTGGGTGGGGTGTGTGTCTTTTGGTAGACCTGTGACCCGAACTGTGCTGGGGAAAAAAAAAGGACGCCAACATACAGACTCATTGTTTTGTGTGCATTTGCTTCAGCAAAACCAACGGACTTTACATGCTTGTACAAAGAGAAATTATGGTTAAAAAAGTTAATAAGATGTTTAAAAAAAAGACAATTTTTTCCCCCTTTGTTTCTGCCAGGCTGTGATGTGACTAATGTACAGTATTTCCTTTTTAGATTTATTCTGCGCCTTGAATGTTGTCTCCTGAAGGCTCGAAGCACACTGGAAGATTTCACACAACTCAAAAAAGACAGATAAAAACTAAAAGCAATCTTCAAACTGCAACAAAAAAATATACTCTGATTTTTCTATAGTATATTTGTAAATTGACGAAGCAAACTGTAATCAATGCAACTAAACAGAGCTGCAGATCTTAAAGATTACGAGCGCTGAACGTGGATAAAGACGTCCTAAATTTAAAGGCCGAAGGAACGATGAATCTGTTCCCTGGAGCTGTGGAACAATGCAAGGTGAATCTTCCAGTGTGCGTCCTCTGTTTCTGTAAATAAGATAAGACAACCACAATCAAACAAACAAACAAACAAACAAACGACAGAACAGGAAGATTCAAATCACTGCAGCTTTGAAAAGCTGTTTGTCATTTTCACTCAGTTCTAATTTGATGCTTGATCTTGAGCCTGAACATGTCTGAACCAGAAAGATTTTTTGTATTTTGCATTCTGCCTTTACTGCTCGTTCCGTTCTGGGCAGCTCTGGTGGGGGGGGGTGCTTGGTTATTGTTTTAGGCAAAAAAAATATGTATTTTTTGGACAGAGAGCTGAACTGGAAAAACTTACTCAAAATAATTACAAAAAAAAGTGCATTTGTTCTTGAATTGAGGAGATAAAAGAGACATTTTGCCAATGGAACGAGACAATTTACATTTAATATAAGAAAACACAATTGCATTGTCTTATTTCAAGTGCATATTATCTAATTATCTTATTTTAAGAGTAAAAATACTCATTCTATTGGCAAACTATCTCATTTACCTGCTCATATTAAGGGTAAATCTTGACTTATTTCTAGATCGTTTTTTCCAGTGTGAATTCAAACTGGCGTTTCTGTCTTTCAGCGAAGCGTTTGCATGTGTGACACGACAAGCTCAGCTGAGCAGTATTAGCCTGTGGAAAGATGTAAATATGGAAAAGGGAACCTTTTTTTGCGCACTATTTTTGCAATGAAAGACGGATATCATCCTGTGTTCAGATAAATGCTCGCAAGTCTGATCTGTGAAGAAGTTACTGTTAAGTGTCCTTGATTTTCATCCAACTATAAAGCCATGTTTAAGGAGTAAAATGTCAGATTAAATCACTAATGTGTTTTCAATCATCATAACGACAAAGATATAATTCACCTATTTCCTTGCTAAACGATCCCAGAGACATCTAAGGTTTGAAAGATAACCAGCTTTATGTGAGGCTGCAGTGACAGACAGGAGAGGGCGGAGCTTAGGATTCCAGGGTCACTTTTCACTGGGCTTAGATTGACTTTTTTTCACAGATAGGAGAAAAGCTCACAACACCACTGATATAGAAGTAGAAAGCACAGATTTTACCAACATTGTTTAAAGGAGAAGTCCGGTCAGCGAGGAATAATCAATGGATCCTTATTTATACCTAAAACTAATACGTTAGCGG